ACAGTCACATGTTGTTATATTTATGTGGTGCTATTTTGGGAAAGCTCACTAAGCATTGTACTTACATATATGTTTTTGGTTTCAGGTACTTTCGGTATAAAAGGGAAGGACCTGGCATGATGACACAACATCCTCCCCCTCATCATTTCCGCATTTATGATCTCTTTTACTCTGATAATTTGTTATAGTTTGTATTTTGGATGATTTCAAGACATGCGATGTTTGGGTTGATGAATTTAAAAATGAAAATTTTACTTATGAATTTTGGGTCGTTACATTGAAAGGAATTTACACACTTGAAATTAAATTACCACACAACACTAGAAATTTAAACACACATCCAATTAGAAATTAGAAGACAACGAACTTAAATTTGACGCTATTTGCGGCGCTGCCTCATAATTTGCCAAAACTAAACAAACCGGAAATTTTTGTCAATTTCTACACGGTAAACCTCAAGAGAATTCACTAGCAAAGTACTTTTCGTTTTCACCAACATCGGCTTCATGTATCACGTTTTCATGTCTCCATTTGGAGAAGAGTTGCTCATTATTTCGAGGTACATTGGCTTGGCGGTTATATTCTTCGGTGAATCTCCTCCAAAAAGTAGTTGAATGGGGGTTAATGTTGATTTTTCATTTTGTTACATCAACCCATGAACCAGATGGTAAGATCTTTTCTTTAGGTGACCAAACACGAGCCATTTTGAGTGAGGAGGTTTTGAAGAAAATGAAAAATAAATTGTTAGGAGAATAGAATGGAAAAGTTTTGAATGTAGTGAAGAATGATGATTAATCTTGTTATTTATAGTAAAAGATAGAAAGTTTAAACTTTGAAAGTTAAAAAAAGGGTTATAGTTTGAAAATGGGGTTTTTTTAAAAAAATTGGTTAGTTTTTGGAAATGAGAAAATGGAATAAATGGTAAAAAATGGACAAATCTCATTCTCTCTCATACGCAGAAACTTATCGAGTTGCCTCGTCGAGCCGAGCTCGCCGAAGCCATGGGCCGGTGTTCGCCGAATTGTGCCGAGTCCTCGCCGAACCCACTCCGTCGAGCCTAAAAGCTAACTACGGTGACCGAGAGCTATCATAATTTATGTCGGTCATATGATTTAAATCCTAAGGTTTCGTTAATATTACATCATATTTTTAGCTTTTCTTTATTAAAATATTATATTTAAAAGAATCGAACTGTACTGTCATTTTTTTATATATAAAATTAAAGAAATTAAATATTTTCCTATCTTTTCTTACTACATATCTTTCTATTCATATGAAATATTGACAAGTGTCATATTTTGATAAAATTAATAATATTTTAAGACACATGTCATTATTTAATTGTATAGGAAGATAAATAGGAAGAAAAATAAGAGAATATTTGATTTCTCATAAAATTATATAAAATTTTATTAAATTATAAATTCATTTTTATATTTTGATGACTTTGGTAGAATATAAAACTCTTTTGGAATACAATGACGTAACAACAAAATTAAAAACATGATGTTATAGCATATTGTTAATTTTCGTATACAATCCTTTAGTCTAATGTAGTACTATGAAAATGATACGTTAGATAAATAAACAATCAATTATGCAAAGAAAAAGAGAATTCAAATTGTGAGTTCAACACCAACAAATGTCAAAGTCTCCTACCTATTAGTCATAAGTCAAAGCAAGTGATTGATGGCTTTTAGGCTAAGGGTGAATGGATTGGAGGTGCCAAAGCACTCACTAGGCTCGTTAAGGGAAGGAGAACATCGTCTCCTAGCGGTCATTAGGGGCTCGCTATGTTGCACGCGTTACCTCCTTGGCGAGATGAGAGAGAATGAAAAGGGAGAAGTTGATTGGTGCTCAATGGTTTGACCAGATTGCAATCCTCCACTTTGATTTAAATCAGTGTTGCAGAAATCGGCCTTGGCGGCCGATAAATCGGCGATTAATCGTTTGGCGGCCTCGAACCGATTACGATTAGGATGCTTGGCGGAAATTGGTCAAAATCGGTCAAACTCGGGCTTGGCGGTCCTTGGCGGCCTTGGCGGTCCTCGGCGGTCATAGGCGAGAAATATTTAAAAAATTCAAAAAAAAAAATAATTTTAAAATATTACACCAAAATTTTTAAGCTTTCAAATTTTAAAATATTATACTAAAATTTTTAAAATTTCAAAATTTTAAAATTTAAAATTTCCAAATACTTAATTTTTTAGGAAATATTAATTTTTTAAATAATTTTATTAATAATTTAGGGTCCCCGGTTAATCGCCGATTAATCCCCGCCGAGTCTGATTAATCGCTTATCGTCAGTCAACCGCCAAGCTACCGCCGAGCGATTTTTACAACCTTGATTTAAATAATAATAAAAATTACCAAAGAGTTTTACTACTCTCTACCAAATGCTAAGAATTAGGTGCTAAAAGAGAAAAATGGTGTGTCACTTAAAAATCTGATGTGACAATGTGCTAGGAATGTTACCACTCCCCATAGCATAAGGGGAGTGGTCACCACCAACCCACTAGAAAAGTGTTGTCAACTCAGCAGCCACGTCAGTTCCACTACAAGCTCAATACCAAACCTCTAGCCTTTGGAAATGGTTACAACTCCACAATATTTATCTTTTTATTTTTATTTTTATTTTATTTTATTTTTCACATTATATTAAGTAAAAAAAACATAATTTAAAACTTAAATAAATATTTTACATTAATTACAAAAACACAAATTTAAATCCTAAATTACTTAAAAACATAAAAAAAATAAAAATAAAACCGAAATTACTAAAAAAACATAAAACATACCAAATAAAACATTACATTGCTTAAAAAATATTAAAAAAAAATTTAAAACATAAATTACTAAAAAGTTATCCATTTTATTGAAAGTGTGTGTTTGTCGGATGTAAAAATATATGTACAATGTATGTATATATGGAGAGATTAATTTTAAATTTGAAATATTCTTTTTATTCCTTCCAACAGCTACAAGAAAGAAAGAAACGGTCAAATATACAAACTCAAATCCTATTGGTCGTCTTAGCCCGTCTTCACAAGCACTTCACAGTCAAGCCACCGGACATCGGGGTTGTGTTCACGCGTAACCTGGTCTGCCACATAGACGTTCACACATCTCTTTCTCTACTACTTCGGATAGCCTTAACGTGTAAACCTAGTCTTTTTCTGGGAACTATGTAATATGTAGTACATACTACGTAGTATACGCGTCATTTGCAGCCGATTGTTTCTTTTTTTATAAGTAATAAACATCTAAAGATTATCACTTATGATATATAGTTATAAATGAATAAAATATTATTTTATATCTTTATAGCATTAAATATTGATTTTGAAATTATTTTTAGATAATATTAATCAGATTATATAATTTTTACATCTAATTTTCCAAAGAAAAAAAGTGAAAAATGTTTCATCTGATTTTTTTCATTCTAACTCAACAAATATCGGCTCTGACCTAGTGGATTCGTTAAAATGGAGAAAACTACTTAGTATAACTTAAAAGGGAGCATCATTTTCAAATAACTTATTGGTTTTTTGGAAAAACTAAGAATTCTTGACTTTTTGAATAGTCATTTTTTACATTGAAAAGTCGGTGTTTACTTTTTGAAAATCAATAAGTTAATAAGTCATTTTGATAAGCACTTCCAAACACCCCTAGTTATGACGTCACATTATAATATTTTTCAAATAAATTATCAATACAAACGATACAAACTAGTATTTTCATTAGTTATTAGTGTTTTTTGGTATTTAAAAAAAATATATTTACTCATGTGTTAATCATTATATAAAAAATAAATTCTAATTGTCATATACAAATGTTATAATTTGTTGATAATATGTATATAAAGAAAAATTTAATGGTGTTTTTTATATATTCTTTTGTATTTTGTTACCCTCGTAAATTTTCCCTTATAAATAATCCATATTAGTTCAAAATACTACGTGTCCTTTGGAATATTTTCCTAATACAAGAAAATAGAGTGATTAGGATTTCTTTCAAAGGCATTTTTTGAAACATCATATTATATATTAAAAACCTAGTACTTATAGCGTTGTATTACATAGCAGAGCCGGTTTTGAAAATTTAATATTCTCAAATGCTCAGGATGAGCCAGAAAAAAAATGTTCTTATAGCTATTATAAGTTTTTTATTTTTAAGTAAATACATATATAATATATAATAAAAAAAATTTGCGCCCCATGTAGTTGCCCACTTTATTTTATCAACGTTTCTCATGTTACATAGTACTTATAGCAGGAATTGAGTTTATATCGTAACATAACATGTTATGATATTTATATCATGAAGTTCATGTATAAAATTAGCATATGATATTATAATTATGACGAATAAAAATGTAAACATGTAAACGTGAAATAATCCAAACAATCAAAGATAAAAGATTGGCCACCCGGATAATGTAAAGATGACCTTATCATGTCACAACATAAGACCTCCCTTGGGTAATGCCCCTTAGAATGCAATTTACTCCTATACGAAAACAAATTTAATAGTATTATTTATAGTTTATGAGAAATTACATATCCTCTTATATTTTCTTTTTATTTATTCTCCTACCACATTAAATGTTAACATCTGTCACATTTAATCATACATTTAATGAAATTAATAATAATTTAATCTACTTGTCATTATTTCATATGAATAGTAGGATATGAAGAAAAAGTAGAAAGATATTTAATTTCTCTTACTTTTTTAAAAACTCATTTGGGTAATCCATATAAAAATACTACTATCATTAATTAATATGGTAATTTCCGGACCCCTTCCTGTCATAAACAAAGAAAGAATATGAGAGGTCACCCCTCACCTGCCGGTGACTGAGAGGCAGTCAGAAGAAGGAAACCGGCCAGCAAAACTTATGAAGGAGAAGATCTAACTCACTTCTATGTAGCAAGATTTCACAATGGGACCAGGAAGGCAGGAAGGATGAGTTACGCAAACCTTTCACTAGATTTGGAATGGTGGTAGACGTGTATCTTGGAGGAAGGAAGGACTATCATCGGATGAATTTCGCTTTTGTGAGATTCTTCGATTTAATCGATGCCAAAGCTCTGGAAGACTCTCTTCAAGGAATAAAATGCAGGGATATGATACTCCAGGTGAACATATCAAAACACCGAAGGAAAAAAACTAATTTGCCTCCCCGAACGCAAAGTCATCGGACATCAAGGCATGCCGGTCCTCAACCGATTCCCCCTCAGACTTTTGGAGAAAGAGACACAAGAACCTTTGCCCAAGTTATCACAGGTAATCGTAATAAACATTCACACACTCCTGAAATTCCAATAGAACTCGAATCAAACACCCAAATGAGCCTATGGTTGGGCAAGAGTGTCCTTATTGGGGAGGCATGCTCCTTCGACCACATCTCAAACCTACATGCATCGATACTAGCGAGTGAAGGTACCAAATACCTATGGGGTCTCAACATTGCCATTAGATTTGGATGCTCAGTTGATGCTAAAGAATATCTAGAAGACAGAAACAGGTGGAAAGATTGGATCAAGTGGCTAGTTCGTGGTGACCAACAAGATATAAAATATGAAAGAACAACATGGCTTAAAATAATGGGGGTTCCTTTAAATTTATGGGCTTAAGAAAACTTTTCCCAGATTGCTAATAGATTTGGAAAGGTTATCAATCCGTTCGATAATATCAACAATAGAAGAGATTACTCAATGGGGAAGGTGGACGTATTAACTTCTAAGAGACGATGGATCAATGAACAAATCACCATTAAACCCGATGGAAGAACGTATCAAATTGGTGTTGTGGAATATACCGATGATTGGTCTCCATTTAAGCTCGTTCCATTTGACAAATTAGAGGAAGATTCTGAAGATGAAAGTGACGATGATGAAGGGGTATTGGACACATGGATGCAGGAAGAAGATAACAAAGAAGAGGAAGGGGAATTTCGGTCAGAAGACCAACCGGTAATCAATAAAACAGCTCCAATTTTTACTGATTCCATCATCAACCCAGAACCACCGATGACGGAAGAAAACAACGGTGAAGAAGTCGGCGAGCCTCGGGTACCAAACTCCGTTGGTTCTAGTATCAAAGCGAATACAAACATTAATGATCCTCGAATGGAGGAAGTTGTGGCGGTTTATGTTCCACAAAACTTTATAATCCCTCTACACATGTGTGTGGACCTTGGGAATAAAATGGGGGAATTTAATTCGTTTGACACATCCCAGGAACCGGTTCACATAAAAACCAAAAATGTTATCCCTAAATTTGGTGATTGTGGGTCGGCAAAACACTTAATCCCATTTGGGTGCTTTGGGCCTTTCCCAAATAATTACCCCCTATATTCACCTCCCCAATAGCCCAAAATGAAACAGTCCAAAAATCCAACTCACATTTGGATTCTAACAGCGATAGACCCAAGGTCAAGAAAAGGAAAAGGGATAAACATGGTGCATGGTCTTTGTCCATTACCTTCTTCACCGACTCTCTTGCTCCACATCAACCAGTACAATCAATCATCAACCCTATACCTTCTCATCTGGATCGGAACGGAAAACCCAATTATGCAGCTAACGAAGTACATCTCGATGACTCTAATTCGTGTAAACGACTACAGACGACTAAGATTGGAGCTGAGATTGGATTCCAAATCAGCTCAGATAATTTGATAACTGCGAATATTGTTGGTGAAATTGGTGTACAAGCTTGTGTCCAATGAATTGCATCTTGTTGAACGGTAGAGGTATTAGTGAGGAGGTTAAAATCAAGTGGTTTCATCGTTTAAAAAGATTACGTAATGCCAATTTCATCAGTATTCAAGAAACACATTTAATCGATTATTCTAGTATAGATGTCAATAGATGTTGGGGCTCATCGGATTTTGATTGGGAAGGGGTGGACTCTTGTGGCAGGTCAGGAGAATTATTATTGATTGGGAACACTAATTGTTTTAAAAACTTAGAGGTTATTAAATCCACAAACTACCTCATTATCATTGGTAATTGGGTGGGTATTGATGGTAACACAATATTTGCAAATATATATGGACCTCAAGCTATTGTCGACAAGAACAACTTATGGAAAGAACTGATATCCATCAAAAGAGTGAAAACTGGGAAATGGGTGGTTTTCGGAGACTTTAATGTGGTCAGACGACATGATGAAAGATTCAATTCTCAATTTTGCCCTTCTAGTGCAGTTGCGTTCAACAGGTTTATTCAAGATGCTGAATTGCATGACTTCAACATGGGGGGAGAACGTTACACCTACATGATCCCTTTTGATGCCAAGTTAAGTAAACTAGACAGATTTCTCGTCTGCTCGGACTTCCTCTCGTCTTTTTCCTCTCTATCTATTACGGATCACCCCCATGAGATCTCAGACCACTCGCTAGTTGCTCTGATGTCTTCTGTGAATAATTACGATCCATCCCCTTTTAGATTGTTGGGTCTAAAATTATGGTTTATACTTTGCTTTTCTAGGAAATTGTATTTTTTAGTCTAGGACCGTAAACATCATTGGTGTTTGCGGTTAGATGTGTTCACGGGTGTCTTTTCGGCCCAATGGGTGTTTACGGCAGTGAACTGGTTCACGGCCGTGAACCCATTTACGGCCCATGCTCCCCAAGTATATATATAGGTGTTAGGGGCGAGGAGTGTTGGAGGAGTGTACGGCTAGAGGAGCTTAAGTGTGTGTATTTTAAGGTGTTCTAGAGAGAGAAATGAGAGAATGTGCAAGTGTGTGTGAATCTTGTGTATTGTTCATCATTCCAATCTTGAATACATCATAGATTCATATTATTCTTCTTCTCTTTCTTCTACATTTAGATCTGGCATCATCCGTTTGATTGAGATTCTGCACCATCAAACGGATCTGATTGATACTCAAGCAAATTTGGGACTTACAAGTGGTATCAGAGCTTGGATTGTATCAATCAATTTTTTCAGATCTGGAGCGTATTTGATCTTATTTTTGAAGGATTTTTTCGTTTTTGGATAGATCTTTGAAAAATAGGGGGGTTTTTTCTTCGTGTTTTTGATAAAAACGAGTTTTGGAGCAAAAAGAGGTAAAAACGCTGTTTTTCATGTCAGCTGAAGCAGTGTTCACGACCATTGAAGGGTTTACGGCCTTTGAAAATCAACGGTTTACGGCCATTGAAGGGTTTACGACCGTAAACCCGTTTACGGCCGAAATCGCGTTTACTGCTAGGGTTTCTCGACGGCGGCCGTAATCTCGGATTAGGGTTCCTCGGTGTTTTGGGCTTCCGAAGTCGGCCCAACTCGTTTACAGTCCTCGGTTCTTCAGCCCAGCAGGAGTTCACGGCCAAATCGTTTGCGGCCCAGCAGGAGTTCTCGGCCCACTTGCTCGTTCAACAACTTCCTTCTTTATCAACAATCTCGATAAGGGGGGACGGATTTTGGGGTTGCCGGGGATCGAACTCGGGTCCCCTGACTCATAAACCAGGCGCCTTTCCAACTGATCTAGCTTGCTAGATGCTATACGCCTTCCAGATTTAATTCATAAGGCGTCCCTGTCTCGATCCTATTTTCACAAAATTGTCACTTTTAGCCCAAAAATCAATTTCCTTTTATTTTAAAATTTCCATTTTCAACCCAAAATTTTAGTTTTAATTTTTGACTTTTAATTTTGACTTTGACTTTCAAGTTTGACCTTTGACTTTAAACTTTGACTTTTTCGTTTAACTTTCAAATTTTCAAATTTAATTTTTCGGTTTGACTTTTAAGTTTGACCTTTTAAATTTGACTTTTGAGGTTTCAAGTCAAAGGGCATTTTTGGTAAACAATGAGTTCTTCAAACATCAAAGTCAATGAACTTTCCTTGGAGAATTTACGTGAACACTATGAATTACTACGAAGAGAGAACGAGGAACTAAAATACGAAGGGTACCAACTTAGGAAAGGCCAGAAACCATTGAAAGATCAATTAGAGGCCAAAACAAATTATTATAAGAAATTACAGGTAGAATACAGTGACAAGTGTGTTCATTATAGATATCTTAAGAAAGATTTTGATGCTATGACTGCCGAACTTGATGCATTAAAATCCAAATATAAAGATGTTGAATTCAACTTTAAGAAATTTGATGTGTCAAGTGAGGTAGTTGTATCCAAGATAGAAAAACAATTAACATTTAAAGATAATCAAAACAAGGGTCTAGGGTATCATGATGTTCCACCTCCTTTCAATGATCACTACACTTTCACCCCTCTGACTAAGGAAGAAATTGAAAATGAATCACACCTTAAGTATGGCCAACCCCCTGCTTCAGCTTCAGTTATGTGATATCCCCATTTTCACGGCCAGAAAATACCGATTTTGTTTATGCTTTGTTTAAAAATCAGAGTAACATTTTAAATAAAAGTGTTGCGGAATTTGTTCCCAAAATAAAATATGATAAAGATTTATCAAAGCATTTCCGTAGAAATGTATTTCATTAAAAACCTCGGGATGTCATGTTCGATACAGATCAAAAGCATAAACAGTACAATATAAGCCTTACTACATTTATTCATATCTACAGGCCTATATCCGTAATCTCTCATCCCAAACATCACATCTATGCTCGTGCACCACTACCTGTAATACAAGAAACTAAGTGGGTCAGGCTTGGGAGCCTGGTGAGCACATAGGGTTTTCAACCCACAATAAATAAGTTTATTAATTTCATCAACCAACAATAACCATATTACCCGTTCCCGTTATCCTCACTTTACGTCCCTAAACACCTATCATAAGGGACCTAGCCTAAGGATCATCATCAGGATGGACACTACTGCTAAGGGGGTTCCTCAACAATAAATGTCCTAAAGGAAACCATGAGGGGGATGGAGTACACCGGTAAACACATCGTTCACAAACACGTACAGGTTGCGAGCCTGCTAGCGTTCCATTGGACTGTCTAGAAGAGTCTGTGGTTGTCATCCATACTCCGCTAGATGACATAATGAACAACAACAACATCGAGGCCTCTCATCATTTTATCACACATCGTCTATTACATCTACCCATGTTTTACCCCAACATTTTATAGATATAAAATACATATACAGTTTAAATCATTTAAAACATGTATAAAAATCTTTCATCAACATAGACAGCAAGTATTCAGACAATATGCACACATAGCACGTAGTTTATATTAAATACTTCATATCTATGTGTAAGATAAAAATGACTATGCACTCACCTGAAAAGGTGGTGACTCTGCACTCGGACAACGCTTCGTTACTCTTAAAACAATTTTCCTCGACAAAACAACGGGTTTTTATTAAATATCGGGCTTCGCTGGAGCAGCGTTTCCGAGCCGAAAGCTTTTCTTCTCGGAGCCGTCGGGCACTCCGGGGCTTCCTTCTCGTGCTAGGGAGGTTCCCTAGACTTGGGAGGGGTTTAGGGAGGCTAGAGAGAAGTTAGAGAGAGAAAGAAAGGCTTATGGTGTGAAGAAAATATGAAGAGTTCACCCTTTATTTATAGGGATTTTATAGTAAAGTAGCCCCTAAGTTTCGTCTGTATCTTCCGCGTACGAGCTCCATTTTCTACATTCTTTATATCCACGCGTTGGTATTTACGAGTACTACAACTTTCATTTAGTCCCCGTCGGCTAATTCTCCTTCTATCTCAGATTTACAAAAACTGTATCGTATTTATCGCGCACGAAGAGTAGCGACTAAGCTTCGTCCATATATTTCGCATACGAGCTTCATTTCCGACGTTATTTATATCCACGCGTTGGTATTTACGAGTACTACAATTTTCATTTAGACCCCGTTGGCTAATTCTCATTCTCTCTCGGATTTACAAAACTGTATTGAATTTGCCACGCTCGAAAAGTAGAGACTAAGCTTTGTCCATAACGTTCGCATACAAGCTCCATTTTTGACGTTATTTATATCCACGTGTTGGTAAAAACAAAATCTACAACTTTCCTTTTTACTCTGTCGGCTAATTCACGACCGATCTTAAATTTAACAGTAGGATGTGATTACACAGTTAAATTTCCGCGTAAAATTCATAAATTTTACATACGGACTCCGTTTTCGTCTGTCTTTTTGTCGTTGAGTTCCTATTAATGAGATATTCACCTCTCATTTAGGTCGTGTAAGCCAAAAACCGCTCGAACTAAAATTCGAGTTTCGGGCCGTGCACTACAACTTTCATTTAGACCCCGTTGGCTAATTCTCATTCTATCTCGGATTTATAAAACTGTATTGAATTTGCCACGCTCGAAAAGTAGAGACTAAGCTTTGTCCATAACGTTCGCATACGAGCTCCGTTTTTGACGTTATTTATATCCACGCGTTGGTAAAAACAAAATCTACAACTTTCCTTTTTACTCTGTCGGCTAATTCCCGACCGATCTTAAATTTAACAGTAGGATGTGATTACAAAGTTAAATGTCCGTGTAAAATTCATAAATTTTACATACGGACTCCGTTTTCGTCTTGTCTTTTTGTCGTTGAGTTCCTATTAATGATATATTCAACTCTCATTTAGGTCGCGTAAGCCAAAAATCGCTCGAACTAAAATTCGAGTTTCGGGCCGTGCACTGTTATGCCAAATCTTAGAAAAATCATAACTTCCTCATACAAAGTCAGATTTGGGCATTCTTTATATCCCCGGAATCCTTGTTTCGAACACCACCACTTTATGTAAAGATATCGGGTTTATCTCACACTTTAATTTTTACGCTTATTTTTATTC